AAATATTAGCAACTTAAATTATTTCAAACAGGTAAGAATGCAAATTTCTTTACAATATGGTGTTTATTGAGTCCAAGAAAACTCTAGTATCTGACAGGAGCTAAGGTTAGGTTTTGCTTTTGTACTGAGGCATGCTTGCCTTGCTTAATACCTGGGCCCCAGTTCTTGTTCAAAATTTGGATAGTACTATCCACTGGATAAATCTCTATCCAGTGGATAACGCAAGTGGTTTTGGGATATGTCCAAGTTTGCACGCAATAGCAAAAATTGCGAAAAATTGGAGAAACCGCAGTTTTTGCCAAAACTACTAAATTCAAGTGGTAAAGGAGGTACAAGGGTGTTCAGCAAAAAGTGCGATTTCTGCAATTTCTGCGATTTCTCCAGATATTGCGAAAAATTGGAGAAATCGCAGTTTTTGCTAAAATTAATTAAGACAAATTAATTAAGTCAAGTGGTACAGGAGGTAGAAGGGTGTCCAGCAAAAACTGCGATTTCTGCAATTTCTGCGATTTCTTCAAAAATTGCGAAAAATTGGAGAAATCGCAATTTTTGCTGCTGTGTGCAAACGTGGACATAAGTGGTGGTTTTCGTAATACTTATCCACTGGATAGTGATTTATCCGGTGGATTGTGCTATCCAACTTTTCAACAACCTGATGTATAAGGAGAAAACTGTTTCTTGGCGAGTGTCGTTTTCAACAAACACTCGCCCTTCGTAATATAACCGAGCAAGACTTTCCACTTTAGGACAACCTATGTTTGTTTAATTTTACGCTGTCTTAATCGATCTACTTAATGAGAATTGGGCGTTGTAGCCTACCAGACTGAATCCATTTTGTTGATATTGCCGATACCGCATCCTTTTTCTTTATGGAACTTAACGTAAGGAATTATTTGCCTTTCTCCGAAGTATCACGTCAAACATTACAAATAACAAAGACATGAACACTGAAAAAAACTGTAAGGCTAACAAGTTTTATTAAACAACAACTACATTGAGTGCGTCAGTTTAATTTTTTTGAAGCTTGCCATCCGTGCCTTCTTAAGTAATTTTGTGTTATCTATATACCTTTGTCTTTTGTCTTGTGTCCTGTGGTTGTTTTTATGTTTCGCATTTTTTAATTTTGTGCAGTTCCCACTATTTAAATTTTGATCAACGTCGTAACACAGCTATTCTTAGGAGCTTAGACACGTTTTTGCGACGTTGTATCAGTTTCGACAGCCTTAAAGTGTCACGTTAATACAGATTAATGAAAACAGCCAAGTAAAGGGGAGCCCAATGAACAAACTGATAACATTTAGCACTGCGATCTGGGGCGCTTCGCTCTTTGGCTTGCAGTCCTGTGTTTTAACAATTACTAGTAGGCCTTTGGAGGGCTCATAAGGTTGGCACTTCCCGCCTTGAATACAACCAGCAATGTCATTTGCCCGCTCCAGTCCACTATAGTAACCGCCCTGTATGAAGCCATACCAATCAGCATGGGTAGCCTCACCAGCGAAGAACAAGTTTTTCAATCGGCCGGCCATGTTGGCAAGCACGGAGGAATCTGTGCCAATGACTGGGTTTGTCCAACAACCCAAGACGCATGGGTTTTGCGACCACTTGCTAACCACAATATCTTATAGAAGAAACAAAAAAAACAAAAGTATGAATACAGTTTTAAAGTTGACGCCATTTAATTTGACTCAAAGAAATCTAGTAAGGCTTAGACACAATGATAGGTTAAGACCTGGCCTGGATTAAGCCAACCTGTTGTTCAAATGCTGTATAGCTCGATCCACCGGGTAAATCACTCTGCAGTGGATCGATAATAGAACAAGTCGCGTTATCCACCATTTGATTAACACTGAGCCCTGGAATGGACATGAGAGAAGGACGTAAGTAACTAGTAAATTTTTAAAGAAACGTATCGGNGCCGGTTATACACCATTTTGGAAACACTGAGCCCTAAAATGAAAAAGAAGGAGAGGGGAAAAAAAATAGTAAATTTTTTAAAAAACCTACCGGGTGGGGAACACTATACAGAAAAGCCCCCCCCCCCCCCCCCCCCTCCTTGAACATTTATATGTTGAGGAGATATGGTCAGATTGCTCGCAGTCATTCATGATTAGTCAGTGGCTGTGGGCAATTACTGAACGAGACCAAAATTTTTCTGTCAGTCAGTCATGGCAAGCTCGGCCAGTCAGCCAATCGGAAGTCGATCTGTCGATCCACTGATCAATATCAACCAATCGAACGCTTAAACATGGGAATGGAAAAAATAAACCAGACGAGCGACCATAAATAAATCATAGTAACTATACAAATGTGTATACCGATAAAATGAGAAAATGATAGAACTGTTCCTCTAAAGAATCAGTTATATTAGTATCTGTGGCATTTGGTATGCTGGGTCCATACATGTTGCGCAAAACTTCCATGACCTCCTCCATCGTTTTGGAATCATCTTGTGCTTCCACTCTTAGCGCTTCATCTCCGGTCGATACAGCATGCAGAGACTTGGAGCCAGGAAAGAACCCAGCACGATCCAGATTGAAAAATAATGGGAAATGTCTTGTGTTCTGGGCTGAAACATGTAATATCCACTCACTATCACCCCAGAATTTACTTGGAAATTTGAGAAAGATTTTTGTCTAGTAAACAGGCCTCAGGCGATAAATGGCTTCTTTCTTCCATTCAGGCAAGGGAGGGTCGAATTTTACTGAGCCAGGGTCTAAAACACCACTACCAAATGTACACAAAGCGAAGTCTGCAGCAAAGACTTCACCTTCGGCGGTGGCGACCTCCACGCCATTGTCATCGTACTTGATCGTGGATATTGTTTTGTTCAGTAATATTTTGTCCGCAAAACTGGAATAGAAATCGCTAAGGGTCGGTTATCAACAGGTCCTGTCCAGCAGAGGCCATGTTTTTCAATGACACCTTTTGTTGATTTTCACCATATTCAAAATCGATGTCAAACCAAGAAAAGACTTTCTTGAGGGGAGTGTTAGACCTCCAGCCGAGTATCTTAAGAGCAGTGGAGGCGGGCATATCCCTCGGCTGGACATCTTTTTCGCCTCTCTCTTCCCCCATCTTGAACATTTCCTCCTTGGCCTTGTGCCACTCTTTATACAGTTTTATATCTGTCACATCAACTCCGGAATCGTTTCTGAGAGGAAGAATAAAAAAGCACTGAAAACGTTCTTAATTGAGAACACTGATGGATCCTACTCCCTTGTCCCAAACTTCTGGGTCACGACGTTCCCTGTTCCCAACTTTCTCAAGCTTTCTTTTCGTTTTGTTTATTACGTTCACTTATTGGTTCTCTGTACAAAAAATTACTGCTCATTAGCTTTTATTGGAATTATCAACTTCAACAACTATGATGGTGATGATGATGATGATGTTGATGATTATGACAATGACGATGATGATAATGACCATAAATCGTTGTCACAATACACTATCAGTCGGTAAATGTACTGCTGGGTTGTTTAACCAGCCTTTACTGACACATCGTGCAACAGGCTCGAAAAGAAGATTATCTGATTTCACGGGTTTCACATATTTTTTTCCGTGGTTTAGACTTTAAAATAGGCTCTTATTACCAGACTCCAAACAGAGTTGTATATTCAAGCGTTACTGAAACCAAAATTCACTGTAATTTTTTCGCGAATGCTTTTTGCAAATAGAGCTATTGCACGAGTACGTCATATATGACGTCAGTTATTTGGTTTTTTGTTCCCGGATAAGCCTCATTGGGATTGACCAATTTAAATAAGAAAGCAAACACAAAATGAACTGATGACTTCAAGAATAAGAATCTTAAACTTCTTTTAAAATGAATTGTATTTGTCGAATAAAACTAAAAGAAAACATTGAGTTATACCAGTTGTCAGAAATGCAATTTTCGTAATTTTGTGGAATAACTAAGACCATCTAAACGTGCTCGTAATATTGAAGACGTGATGCGTGAAACAGTTGTATTGGTCTTGGTATATTTGACGTGAAAACGTAAGGGCAAACTGTAAGGAGACCTTATAAAAAATCACCCATCCGGGCAAACTTGTTAGTAGTTTATATTTGACTTTGCAAGGCCTCGAAAAACCTAATTATCCGTTATCACTCGCGACCAGCAAGTCCCTGTGATTAAAAAACAATAATAAAAAAATAACGCGACTAAGGATGCTACAATTACATCAAAATTGTTGATACCTCGCACGAACATTGCTGTAGTTGGACAAATGTCCCCTTAAGTTATGCTTGTCCCTCAATGGTACCAGTGGGTTTTCTTCCTCGTCAAAGTAATGAATCCAGTTTGCTCCTAGCTCCACTTTTATTCCTGCAAATGGAACCACTTTCATTCTTCCGCCGATATAGTCTTGCCACTCCAGTACAAGATAGTCGGTAATTCCCTTATCATGACGTGTCTTAGCGGCAGTGACTCCTGCAGCCCCAGCTCCCAGGATTAAAACTTTCTTTCTTTCCGAGGGGGCTTCCGACACTATTGCAAAACTAAAACAAAGAAAGCCAAGCAAAGTGTTTGTGGCCATCTTAATTTTCTTAGCTTCGCGGTCTATTAGAGCGAAGAGAATTGGGTGTTGTTATATTTCTTAACAACGAGGTCACGCACATGCAAATGTCGTGGTACTCAAACCACAATAAAGACGACAATCTTTATTATTTGGGTATGGCCCAAATAGAGTAATGGAAACGGCTTGCTTTGACGCAAAAGTGCAATAGGCACGCAATACGTGCTAACGTAAACAAGCAAGTAAACAAGCGAGGCGAGGCGAGGCGAATGTCTGCCATGCGAACGTCATTCAACACTACATATTCTCCTTTATCGTTTTCGTAAAGTAAACCAAAACCCATAAAACGTGTCTTCGGAATCTCACGCGAAATTTAGTTTTTTAAATCCTCAACACTCCCAGGCGGATTCATAAAAAAAACTCTGCTGGTATCTCCAATTTGAACTGGAATTTGCATTACTATAATAACACATGCAGACTTTAAAAATAGAATACTCTACCACGAAAAACCTGAAAACTTAGACAGCACGTGATCAAAACATGTTCTTATAGCGCTTAAAACGTTGTCAATTTCACGACAGAAGGGAACTTAAGAACCACGACGACGACCGGAAGTGAGTTACAGAGTACTGCGCAAGCGCGACCAGTACATTTCGTCGTCGTATTGAAGTCGTCGTAGTGTCGTCGACGACGCCAAACAAAGTAGAATCACGTCGTCCTGCAATGCATAAGCTTCTGCAGGTATAAATCCACTGTTTTAAGCAATTTTTGAAGTCCTTTGCTTTTTCCTATCCTCGTAAATCCAGGTATCGTTCCTTTTTTCCCCTAACAAGCGATGTTGATTGAAAATTCGACTAATGAATTTATTTTGCTTCGAACTTTCTTGTATTGTTTATCCACTTACATACCAGAAAAATGCCTTTTAATGCCTTTGTTTTTACTTTTTACGTTTTTACGTTTTTACTTACGAACAAGGTTTTGGATTCTCTTATTTCTTCCAAACGTCCAAACTTGTTTCCCTTTATGACTCATTCTTAGCTCAGCTCACAAGAGCGATTATAAATTTTGGTATATGACAACAGGCAAAATTAATATTGAAAAGAGAAAATGGGTAGGTAATACAGTCGATGCCTGCTGGTAAAACATATCAATGACCTGAAATTCTCTAAAAAGCTTCATTACAAGGAGAAGCACAATCTCACTCTTTATAAACTTTCGTATATTTTTCTCTTTGAAGTCTACATCTTCATTCCTTGATCTCGGCTTCTACTTCATTCAGACCTGTCATAAATGGAAAACTTATAGTTAATACGAAAACTCACATAGAGATGAGCAAACTTGTGATTGTTACTCAAAACTTCACCAGCTTTAAGGTGGCTCCGTAATTAATACAAGAGCATTTAGCTGTGACAAATTTTCCGTCATAACTTTTTCGATTTTAACGCGATGGCTCCGAAACTTTGCAAAGAACAACAGATATCATTCGGCAATAATACGAAATATTCCGATTTCATTGATGGTAAATATTTCTTGAGAAATTAGCGCTTAAAAGGACCCTACTGTTCAAAGAAAATCGCGTCTAGTAAAAAATTTTGCTGATATTTTTTACTGAAATTTCTGGTATCGGCTTTAATTGATATAATAAATATGCCAGAGGAATTTCAGAAAAATCGTTGGAGCAGAAGTCCGTAACTAAAAGTCGCTCAAAATTCAGCTGTGAAATTGTTTTGGAATTTCAAAAATAAATTACTATCAGGAAGAAGGAGACACCAGTTTCAATTTTCGGGACAAGTAAATTCAGTGTTTGCTAATTCTGAAAACAGAAGCCGATTGCCTATCGTGCTATTCTTTAGAAGGTACTTTTCAGTTTTAGAAGCACTATAAATTGCTCCAAACTTTGCTCTGACGTCGAATGAATTGTTCCTCGACATTTTTAACATATCCCTTGGCAGTTTTGGTTCAAACTCCTGCTACATACATTTTGATGTATTGCAATGCATCCTCAACGGCTTTTCCTGCTGTACGTTGTTTCCAATTCAGGAAAAAGGTATTGGGATTGTAAGCTACCTTGTATCGAAGCTCAGATAGAACTGTCGAGCACCTTTGTTTATGACCAGAAAATGAGCACGAGCGGCAGCTCTGCGAGGAATTCGCACCTCAGCCAGGGGGGACGAATTTTAATGATGCCCATGTCTGTGAACCGATCTGTATAAACATGTATTGCAGAGCAAAACATAATAATCAAGAAAAAAAATACCCATTCACTGAAGGAAGGAGTGACAAAAATTTCAGAGTTGTAAATTTATTCACGGGCAGTATTTTGGCGATAATTTTATTTTGCACTGTGATGTTGTTCGGTTCACAGGCATGGTCATCATTGTCGTTCGTCCCCCCTGGGTGAGGTGCGAATTCCTCGCAGAAGTGCCCTCGTGCTCATTTTGAAGTCATAAACAAAGGTGCTGGACAGTTCTATCTGAGCTCTGATACGAGGTAGCGTCCAATCTCAATACTTTTTTCCTAAGTTGGAAGCAACGAACAGCAGTAAAAGTGGTTGAAAATGCATTGCAACACATCAAAATGTATGCAGCAGTAGTTTGAGCCAAAACTGCCAAGTGATATTTTAAAAATGTCGAAGAACAAGTAATTCTACTTCAGAGCAAGGTTTGGAGCAATTTATAGTGCTTCTAAAACTAAAAAGTACCTTTTAAAGAATAGCACGATAGGCAATCGGCTTTTGTTTTAAGAATTAGCAAACGTTGAATTTACTTGTCCCGAAAATTCAAAGTGGTGGCTCCTTCTACCTGATAGTAATTTATTTTTTAAATTCCAAAACAATTTCACAGCTGAATTTTGAGTGACTTTTAGTTTCGGACTTCTGCTCCAACGATTTTTCTGAAATTCCTCTAGCATATTTATTATATCAATTGAAGCCGATACCAGAAATTTCAGTAAAAAACGTCAGCAAAATTTTTTACTAGACGCGATTTTCTTTGAACAGTAAGGTCCTTTTAAGCGCTAATTTCTCGAGAAATATTTACCATCAATGAAATCGGAATATTTCATATTATTGCCGAATGATATCTGTTGTTCTTTGCAAAGTTTCGGAGCCATCGCGTTAAAATCGAAAAAGTTATGACGAAAAATTTGTCACAGCAAAATGCTCTGGTATTAATTACGGAGCCACCTTAAGCTTTAAAAGTTTAATTTTTTTAAATTTTTTTTAAAATTTTTTTAACAAGTTTCACCGAATAAATACTGATTCTACAACTCGACCAACACTTCTAAACCGACTAAAGCTATATGTAAGAAAAAGCTTCTTTGATCACACAATAAGATTTGTAACTTAGTTTATGACTTTACATTGTAATGACTTCTTGTGTGTGATGGTATCATCGCGCTCCAAGCTGGCTTCGATTTTCTTGCCACCAAGAAACGGTCAGCAACTGTTATCGCTTAGTCTGATCGCTCGGCTACATTACAAAGATTTGCTCCTCCTTAGACAATAAAGTGATGTTTAAGTAAATCGTTTACTTACCATCGAAGAAAAGTCGCCCAAAATCCAGCAAATTGTTCTTTCATAATTTTTAAAACATCTTTCTACAAACTTACTGACGATCAAAACAATGAAAAACCTCGCCGGGACGGTCAAAAACATTTTCCTTGATCCCTGGTTTACGTAACATTTCTTTCCACGAGTTGCATTTCTAACGTATTCGTAGAATTTCTCCTTCGTCGGCATTCACAAATATGAGTTTACAGTGTAACAGATGATCGAAGATGGTCTCAGATGCATGAATTTCACCACACGAGTGCTTCGCGCACGGGCTATTATTGGTAAATAATTGATGTCACGGACATGCGTAGTACGTTATTCAGCCCTGTCTTTTCCCGCCGAAACTGACGTTCTCGTTCCAGTCTTTTCCTAGTCAACAGACGTTGTCGTCGTGAACTTCGTCGTGGTTCTTAAGTTCCTTAGAGACTAACCGACAACGTTTCATTGGCCAAAACTGACAGGTTGAAATGCGAAACTACGGGCATAATTCGTCGCGCTTCAAGGATGGTAGTAATCCAATGATATCATTTGATCCGAAATTTTTCAAAGCAGCAGTAAGAAGCAGTATGGATAAAATTTGGCGACGTTGTTTCGAGGAACGTATTGTTGAAGTATGTTATCCAGGGTTAAACTTACAAATGCACACGCTGTTCGCGGTAGGCCCACACTAAAATAACACTGAGTGTTTTCATAATAGGCTGGTCCGCGAACTCAAAGAAAATCAAAGGAAATTTTCAAGACATTCAAATTCCATGGACCTCATAGACGCAATGACAAATCGGAATGTCAGGAGTGAGCGTGTAAAATCGATAAGAGTTTGAACAGAAGAATGTGTATCAAGTTTAAGAGTCTGAAATTGTGTAGCTGGTAATCAGTGTGACAGTAGAGATTTTGATTTTCACAATGCGGAACACAAGAAGTGCCCTGTGATAAAAATCTCGTCCAATGAAGGAAGAGAAGATTGTCAACAATTAAAACCAAAAGGGACTCAAGCTTCTTCGGGATTTTGCATTATCAGCAAGTTTTGTGTTAAGAGTGACTTGATGTCAGTGAGGTAACAACAAGAAAAGGTAATGAGTCAATTGTACAGAAGGAGGTTTTTTGGAGGAAATAAAAGAAGTTGAATTGAGATCTCGTCGTGGGAAATTTATTTATAACAGAACTTACAATCCAGTTGGTCTAAATAAGGGCCTGTTTACATGGAGGTGGGGGACCCCAGGTAGGTGAGGTAACACGCTTGGGTGCACGGCAAGAAATCTCTTATTTTCTGGTAATTTTACCAAACGGTTAATTCATTGAAAATGCCAAGTTCACGATCCGTTTTCTCATT